ACTGATTATAGTGGTCCCTGTGTCGACCGTCCTCGTCTTCGTCAGAATCTTCTCCGTACGCCACCAGCGGTCCGGCCTTCATCCTCTTCGGCGGCGGGCCTGGCATCGGAACCGGGTCCTGCAGCTTTCCACCTTTTCCTTCTTATACAGAGGAAGTCAACAAGAAACATGGCACAAACATCCACAAGCCAGTTAGTGAACACATCGTCATATCATCCACACACCCCCACGCCAAAGAGCATAGGCATTCCATTGTTGTCCAACCAACACCCAACATAAAGCAGGGAATCAATCGATCAATGCAGAACATGAGCAAGACACAAAAACAAAAAACAAAAAATCCGGCAATGAGTTTCACGGGTGTCCCAAATGAGCATGAAACAATACAAATGATAAGATGATTAATGGTTTGTGTATAACAATTAAGTCCCGTTAGTGTTTCGTAAATAGTAAAGAGGCAATTGTAGAAATAAGTTAAGAAATAGACAGGATGATTATTTCGGGCACCAGTGAAACGCGGTCGTCGTCAGATCGGGGGAGGTCAGCGTCGGAGGCAGCGAGACCAGCAGCCACATAAAAGAGAAAAAAAGACAAAGCATCCATTTAGTTAGCTGAACAGGAGCACCATTCAGGGCTGCCTCCTCCTTACCAGCCAGATACATGAATGTTCATTGACAGAATGGAAACTTGAGATCCTGATTGTTATGCAATTTTGTGTCCCGATATATAAGGCAGTGAAGGAGGCAGCCCTTAAAAAACAAATATAATGTGCACTTTAAACATGCACATGCATTCATAAATCAGAATGTGTACCAACAGCTGTCTAAAACAGTCTTGTAGACCGAGCATGGTAGCAATGTTCTTTTTTCTTAAAGCTACCTTCAATCATGGCGATCTTTACACAGTTTGACTAAATGAATAAGAACTGTACAACATTTTTGATCAGGAGGTTGTAAGGATTGCAAAAAGAATTGAGATAAAAATACTGCTGAAACACATCAAACTGTCTGTTTAGAAAATCTACATCATACATCCATCTTAGGAAGCATCTACAGAAAGCAAAACACTTGATGTCAATTGCAGCACACACACCAAAAACCAACTTATGACCTACAGGTAGACGTATAAACTCATCTCCTCAAAACCTATGAGCGAAAAAAAAGCTCTTCTTTTCATATTACAGAATCTAAAACTAAAATGATGATTCTCTCTATCATCAGTCTTGCTTGTTCTATTCAGAACAGATTTGTCAAAGTTTTGAAATCAGAACTGTACAGTAACCACTGTGAGGAAAACAGGTAGAGAAGATGTACATTTTTTAAGTTTTCTTTTTGTCAATCACTTGTGATTTAAGCTACCGTAAATCTCGAAACATTCGCGGTGGTTTTATTCTCTTGGTTTTCGCAGTGACTTTCGTGAATTCATGTCACCGTACACGTTTTTCAGTGTAACACTACTGTACTACATAATTGTTTTGACCGAGAATTTTAGACACCACGAAAACCACCCTTTCGCTTGCTTCTGTAAAACAAAACCACCGCGAATGTTAACGAATTTCTCCTAAGCCTCCCCTTAAGCCTGACCCCAGGCTTGGACGCGAAGGAAGGGGTATCATGTCATCATCACAGTAAGCTGTTGAAAAGAGATGGCAAACAACAAGGTCAGTTTGGATGCAGACTCTAACCTGGCAGAGCAACTGAGGGTGGAGGTGGGGGTGGCATAAGCTGCCTATCCCGGTCGCTCGGCATTCCTGGCGGTCGAGGAGGCGGCGGCATCAACTGCCTGTAAACAAACAGCAAGTTATGAGGAAGGGTGCATCTGGGGGGGCCAAAATGGAAAATTTCATGTGTAGATTTAAATGTAATCCAATTGTCTGCAAACAAAGAGCAATTTAGACTTGTAGAGATATATTTTCCAATTTGAAGTGTTTAGATATTGTAAAGATTGAATCGTGAACAGGGTTCCAAAACCTGACCTTTTCAAAGCTGCAACAGGACAATTTCTTGTCCACAATTAGTCTTTAGAAGACTCTCTTAACACACATTTGATAATCTTCTAAACAGTAAACATGGAAAAACTGCTCTTACAATCTACAAAAGTTTAATTTTGGAGACCAATCCTGGTGAACCAGGCATTGAAAAATTGCTAATGAATGCAGTGGAATATCTTTCAGTGGGTGATCATACTGAAACAAGGGGGTAAAAGTAATCTTCAATTATATATGTGTCTACACTATTGGTATGATTGAAGAACAGTACATGTCTTCTTTTTTTCTTTACACAACAAGAGAGTAAAAACACTTGAACCCTTGCCCCAACCAAGCTATCGCTGATGACACAAAAGAAGACCAGTTAATGATGGGCAGATTTGTGGGGGGTGGTGGGGGGTAGAGGGGAGCACACAGGGAGTGTCAGTTCAGTCTTTACCTGTCCCTTTCGTCTTCGTCTGGGGGGGCGGCGGGCAGGAGAAGGTGCGGAGGAGGCGGACCTCCAGGATGTGCTCCGGGAGGAGGCAGCAAGTTTCCTTGCAGATGCTGCGGCTGGCTAGAGGGTGGCTGGGGCTGGGACGACGCTGGGCCGCTACCTAGATTAGTCAAGTGAGGAGGGCCATGCTAAACACAGGGAGAGAGAAGAGAGTCAGTTTTTTGCTGCAACACAAAAATTATTGGTTAATATCAGAAAACAGGAACATCACCATCACACTGCAAAATACCTATATAAGAACAACTGGATTCAACAAGTGAATCAATGGAATTATTTACATATTTATTTATATCCAATGGTACCTACAAGAGTACAAACTTAGAAATTGAAGTAAATGGCAAAGCTACAACAACAAAGTTGAAGTGTCAAAAGGCAAGAAATGTTGACTATTGATGCCACTGCAATGGTACATGTAGATGGCATATTCTGGAACGTAATATAAAATGGAACAAGCTGATCCACAGTCAGAAATGCACTTGCACGAAGTTATCCATTGTGGATAATATGTCAATGTTGAAGGTACATGTACATGTGCATGAGAAACAAATTATATATACATGGCCTAGACAAGAACTAGGGACCTTCACCATAGAAATTGCGCATGCACAGTTCAAACTGTGGACCAGCTTATTTACTGCAACTACAGAGATACAAAATGTACAAAGAGAATTTGTTCAATGAAAACAAATGTCTGATCAGTGTGCTGTCAGGAGAGATGTTGTGGTTAATCGACATGCGTTCAGTGTGTGTGTGTGTTACGTTACACACATCTTAGCAACAGTGAGTTGGGAGCAGGGACAGTACAACAGGGGGAAGGGGGGAAGATTTAGAAGCAACTGATGCAGACAACAGCAACAAAACTGTACTGCTGTCCTCGTGCCGCAATCTTCGGTCCATCCTGTAATGGAGTACAGATGGGGCAGAAAACACACACTACAGGCACTGTCACATCAGCAACGACCAAGCGAGCATGTACACTGTACAAGGCAGTTATGATCAGCATGACCATACGAAAGAAAGAAGAAATTATAGAAGGATAAGGTGAGAGTTAACAGAGGGAAGCAAGCACAAGCTGCTCGAGAACAAGAAAAAAACAAGCAGAAAAAGAAGAGGTAGGGATAAAGGCATAGAGAAGCAAACCCCACAAAAAGGGCACTCTGGAGAAGGGGGAAAGGGGAAATAGGTTGTCAAGTACTCAACAATATGGGGCTGCATGACATCTGCAGCCTCTTGTCTCTTGCTGAGGAAGATGGGCGAAACAACCTGGTATCCCAGAATGGCCTGCAGGTCCTCCTTCTCAGGCTCCTCGGTGAAGCGTCGCTTCTGTGGCGGCTGGGGGAGGTCCCGCCGCTGGTCGGCCTGGCTGTAGTGCAGGGAGGAGGGGCCGGGAGGGGGGCCACCGATGCTCATCTGGGGTTGCAAAGACAAAACATCAATAGATAAGTCAAACTTGGAAAGCAAATGCATTGTGTTTACCTTCCCTGGCCCAGTTTAACAAACTACTGCTTTGTTTTTTCTTTATTCTTACTCAAACACATTCATATATATGGTAACAATGCAGGCCTTCTTGAAGTATGAAGTTCTACATGGGACTTGCAACATTATGTAACCCAACACCTGACGTCTGGTCATTGACCTTATTAACTTATAGTGTTTGGAATGGAATAAGACTGAAAGAAACTGAGCAAAAACAATATGTTTTCCTCCAATAAATATAATGATACATTGATGAAGGTTACACATCCAGGTAAACAATACTTACTTTAAAGGAAATTCAAACTCTACTACTGGATAAATTACGGAGATAATTCCCGGACAGGTAGCATCTGCTACCTTTTGTGACTGGAGTTAGTCAAAATTGCCCAAAAAGACCACTCAGGAAAAGCTGCTGTACAGGTGGTCACCATAGAAAGGCTTCCTAATCCTATGTCAATGACTGTATTACGTTTAGAGGTAATAACACGAAACCAAATCCCTGTGAACACAAACTTACAATACCAACCTCATGTGGCTGCTGAGGCAGCAGCTGGTTGGACGTGACCGGCAGTGGCGGCCTGAGCCCGGGCGGCAGCTGGCCAGGTGGCTGCAGGTTGTGCTGCAGCTGTAACTGCTGTGGCGGCGGCTGCCCCGGCAGGAACGGGTGCTGCGGCTGGGGCTGCTGTGGGCCGCCCGGCAACGGGCCGGGCAGGTCGGGGTGCTGCAGGCCGGGTAACTTGGGGTGGAAGAAGAACTGGTTAACCTTATTTGATCATCGCTATGCTAACTCACTGACGGTTACAACCTCAGCACATTCTGGAGACACTACATTAACCTAGTTTTTAAGTAGTTTATTTTCTCTGTATCTGTATCTGTATAGCCGGTATAACCGCCTTTCGGCGTAACACACCAGCTTCGCAGGGGTATAACAGACTTGTAATGGCAGACAAAACAATAGAAAGTCATCATGATTAAAAAAAAGCCTGACATACTTGATTGAGCACTATTGGTACTAAGTTCACCATAGAACAGAGTAAACCTGAACTTGTAGCTTTGTCTGGCCTGCCATATTTTTTGGACATGCTCGAGGGATATGAGGGCCACTACCCTTTAAAAACATTACAAGAACAAGAAAGAAACTCCAATAATCACCTGCTGCTGTTGTGGAGGCAGGAGTGACTGTAGTTGTGGGGAGGGGATACTCGACTGTACCACCCCAGCGGGGGGAGGGGCCTGGCTCGACGCTAGTGAAGAGATGATCTGTTGTGCCGTCATGACGGACTGGACAGGTGGAGGGTTCGCCATCGAGCCCTGACTCAACCCTGGGGACATCAGACCTGTGGAAAACAGGGTAAATAAGCAAAATTGGTATCAATCTGTTCAGTCTAAACCATATGTAAATGTTTGATGTTTTAAGCACGTCGGCAGAACGTACTGCGCCTGCGCAAAACCCTGATTTTTTACGGTTTTCGTCAGATTTTTGGTCAACGTTGCATCAGAATTATGCCTGTTGCAGGCGATATTTACCCCGACACAGCATTTGGAAACTACAGACGGAGTGTTAACCTTGTATGCACAAATACGGCCTTATATAAAATGTTACAATGCCAAAGTGCTATGCAGGATACACTACAGGTTTTGCGCAGGTGCAGTACGTTCTGCAGACGTGCTGATGTTTTACTGTGATGATAAAAATTTGTAGTGTATAATGCAATCTGACCTGCAGAGTGCATACTAGTATACCCCAAAATTGCACTATGATATATTTTATATCCTAACCATAGGAGCTTGGCATGGTTGTCTGTGGCAAGTCCCATGGTGAGCCTGGACATTGGGACAGACATACATGGGTGAACATATTTCTTACATTATAATAAGTTACATATGCTATACAACATAGCTAGAAGCTAGAAGCATACAACATAGCTAGAAGCCCACAGTCAATTTCCTCTGTTTCTGTAAAAAAAATACTTGTAAACATGATATTTAGTTATTCACACAGTAGATAGTAGGGTCTAAGTTACAAATAAAGTTATGTTCAACTTGATGGAACATTTTTAAGATCCTGTAAGTCATTAATGCATAAAAGAAAACAGAAAACAGTGAAGTCAATCTCATACAGTGGAAAACTCATCAGGAATCTGTAGCCTGGTGCACCTGTTATCTATCGCTCCATATTGCACTCTGGAAAAAAAGGCTCAGACAACAAATCACATCAGACACATCATGCTAATAGCAGGTCAGGCCCCTGGAAGCTTGATAGCCAACACCTCTAAGTAAGGAGAAATGCGAACATTTTAATCTTATCGATGTGCGATAACTTGGACCAATCATTGTCACACTAGAATGGTCTGTTGCCTTTGTGTTGGAGGATGTGATAACTGGTTTGGTAGTTCTGAGAATGGGAATGGTTCACTCGAGTTTATGGCCACATTGTATGGCCACAATCTCTCAGGAAGGAAGCAGAATCAGCTCCTAACAGCAAGAGATTTGAGTATATGACACAGGCTAGATAAGACAAAGACATTTATGTATTGTTATATTAACTATTTCAATGGCTAAAATGATCTAAGGTACGTTGTTAACCTGCTGTAATGTCCTGATATCATTTCAGCCCTTGGCTACCATCTTTGGGACACTGTTGATGCAAATAAACCATTGATAAAGACACAATTTCATGCTCTAGAGGAATATATCATAGGCCTTGTCGCCCACCTGTGGTGGGAGGGAGGTTGCCAAGCAGGCCGGGCGGGGCGCCTCCCGGCAACAGCTGTCCGGGGTGGGGGGGCTGCATCCCCAGGGGCGATCCTGTGAAAGTCAGCTGTGTGGTCTGTGGCATGCCCAGACCTGTGAGCAGGCACACAGCACCGTTAGTGGGGAACAACATGCATCAATACCAGCATAATACTCTTAACATATAGGTTCCACTGGGCTGAAACTTTGGACATTCGGTCTTCTGACGTACCTTCCACTGCCAGGCTTTGAAAGAATATTTCGATGAAACAAAAGTAAAGGTGATTAACACTTTGAAGTTATACCGCATACCTTGGAAATGCCTTTTTTTCTGTGTATAATAATTATGATTTTTAAAAGTAGTAAAACAAAAAGTGAACAAAGTCAGAAAATTCTTACTTAGTTTACTTTACAAGTCAGAAAAGATAGCCACTAATCAAAGAAACTCTCCTGGAATATGTTGAGTGGACACTGATTATTGAAGACAAGCTCATTTTACAAATTAAAACAAAACATTCAAAACAAAGGTAACTGCACCAGTTGTACACTCAATACATCCCAAGGAATCATGTAATACTATACAATCACTGAAAAGAACTCTTAGAGACAATATGAACATAAGGAAACAGGCTTAAGGATGATTTGAATCTTCTACTAAGCTTGGTGTACACAGCACACTGGTATTAGCAACATCTCCGATCAACTTTAAACCACAGATAACTCACTACAACTCCCAACTTTATTACAACTCCCAACCATGGTCTGTAGAAGGTTGGGAGGCCATGGTCAGCTACCTGTGACATAGGGATTACATGTAAGCTGAAACTGGCTGGTTTGAAGTACTAGTACTCACACCACAGCATACTCCTACTCTTACCGAAAATAGTTTCATCAGGTTGGGAAAGTATAGGACACAGGAGTTTTCTTTTACACAGCCAAGATAGACTAACCTTGCTTGCATTTTGGTGTCTATTTGACACCTTCCTTTGAGCTTCTAACTGGTGTAGACACTGAAACGTAAGCAAGCTTTTAAGTCTATCTTAGTTGTGTAAAAGAAAACTCCTGCATCCTATGCTCTGTGGAAGGTCGGGATGCCATGGCTGGCTATGTGTGATGGGCTAGCCAAGACAGGCTGGTCTTAAGTACTGCAGTACTGTCTTACCGTCCCCACTCCACATTACAAACCTACCTGGCTGTCCGGGTGCCGGCTGCTGCAGTAGTGCTGGCTGCTGCATCCCCACCGGCAGGGACAGGGAGGAGGGGGGAGGGGCGGGGCTAGGGCCGCCCTGGGACAGGCCCACCTGACCAACGTGCCCGGGGGGAGGCAGCCCCGTCGTAATCGTCATATTGCCTGGTTGAACACCTGCACGATAACAAATGACAATCATTTGTTTGTTTGCTTGGGCTTTTGTTTATTTGTGAAATAGGTCTGCTGGCTGCTTTTCATTGAGAGAAGAGGCTAGGGTAAGACAAAATGTAATTACCCATTCACTGACAAAGAGTGGAGATGGACAGTCGAAAATTTGGGTAACTAATTTTTGTGTCAAAGACTCAAACCTTCAAGCAAAAATTATGATCGATAGTACAAAGAATTAACCTTCTCCCTGCCTAAAAAAAACACTTTGCACCAAATCTGTATTGGCTACGGGTTTAGTCAGCACAGAGAAGGTTTATTGTTTGTGAGAATACACTGTCAGCACTTGCAGTACCTGCCACAGTAACCTTCAACTGTGGGGGTGTATAAAGTGCTCTTTCTCTCGGAGGACAGTATCGGCAGTGGGACAACCGCTCATGTCATCAACCACCTTCTTAATCCTCCATACTGATTTAAGATTTTTCAAGGGAGAATATCATGACTTCCTCCATGTTCAACAAGGAATAAAACATCTCATACTTTGACATAGTCATAGTTTTTCTGAACCTCATATCAGTATCATAAATATCCTGCTGATTCTGCATGATTACGGAGCAACAATCCCATTTGTAAGACAACAGAGATGCATGTTGCAGGAAACTCAAGACAGGAAATAATATTATTATCATTAATATGGCCTTTTCTGGGACCTTTGATCTAACTTCCTGACAGTGCCCCTGACATGCCTAGCATGTAAAAATGACTACAACACAAGCAAGCAAGCACTCCCAAAACAAAACCTCCAAACACAAAGGTAATAAGTATATGTAACCCATCCTGCTGGGTGCATCCACTGCTTAATTACAGGAAACAACACAAGAAAGTGCTGTTGCAAATAGACATGACACATACCTTGTACTATGTTAGGGGGAGGAATGATCCCTGCTGCAATCTGCTGCTGATACTTTGCATACTCTTGGTGGATCTGTGTGTGTGACATTAGATCATGCAGATATAAGACAATTAACTCCATACAAGTCAATTAAACTTCTTAAACTTCGAGACAAACTTTTGCAATTACTTCAAGAACTGAGAGTTCAACAGCACAACTACTTGTCTTTGACTTGTCTCTAGTACTCCAATTAATGTTTAAGATGTATAAACTCATCAGATCATTCTTTGCCTCTACAACAGCTCAGAACTTAAATCGAATGAAAGCTCAGTACTTACTGTTTGCAACAAATTTTCACACAACTTCTTGGCCTGGTCCAGACCTGCTGGGTTTGTGTGGCTGTTGAGGAACAAGGAACAGACATCAGTCAATTTCTTTTTATAACATAGATTATAGAAGAATGCAACAGCAACTTAGAAAACCACAAATAAGCTTCAACAGCACAGGTTTGCACTGCACTGAGTATGCAACTCAGTAAGACCCCTACTCTTTTTTGTTAAGTGCGGAGGGGGTTCTTCAATGTGCTCAAGGTGTGGCTCTCCTCAAACAAGGACCTCCACTTTATGTTGCATCTCTAACCAAAGCTAGGTACTCATTTTCATCTGAGTCATGTAAGGAAATTGGTGCCAAGTACAAGAGCATAACACTGGGACTTGCTTGGGATTAGAACCCAGAATCTTCAGTTTCAACATGACAGTGGAAGTGTTATTGCCCACCTTATCCAAATGTACATAGGTGAGAAGTCCTCTCTCCCTGATGTGGCCTCTATTGTACCAGAACCCTTCCCTCTCAGCTGCACCTTGGCACCTGTCTCTCTTTGGATATGGTCTAGGTAAGAACCCTGGGCAATACAAATTAAAGTGTCAATAATGACCATACAAAAACATTGCACGAAAACAAAATAATAAATTAGTTACTACAGAAAATGGAGGGAACTATCAAATACATTGACTGGATAGTACTCAATTTAGTGTGACTGTGAGTGTGGGTGTGTACTCTTACATTTATGTTATTATTGTCTTTGTATATTTCTGTTGTTTTGGCGAATAAAAATAGACCATACATGTATGACACCAAAGTACAACATTTTCTGATCATAATGACGATACAAGTGCCCATTAGACTACAATCAGTCTATCTACAGAGGTGTTCGAATATTCTTACCGCAACTCCTAGGACTTTTTCCCTCACATTGAAGGAGGGTGGGGCATGTTCCAAACCAACGAACACCTTGTCCTGTACATAATGCATCTGAGAAGGAGGAAAAGTACAATAAGTGACAGTGAAGAATTAAAAATAGAAATCAAAAATTTGTACATAGAAGATACCTCTAAAATAAAACGCATTTAAAAAGTAGCATTACAATGACACCCCCTTTCCACTGTACTAGAGGCTGTGATCATTGAGAGACCAAACATTTGACAGGTTGCTCAACGAATTTTAAAGAATTATATTTAAAGGAGTACTAACCTCCAGAAGGAAGTGCTATTTTCCGATTCATCATGCTGCAATGAATACATAACTAGCCGACTTTTTACATAATTTCGCTTGTAGGAGTTGCGCGGCGCATGTTTGTAAAGTGATATTAATATCATTTTCCCCCATGCTGAACAACAATTGATACATCCGGGAACTCTGGCTTACGCAATACTCATACACTTCAGGTCAACATACACATTTTTCGGACGAAAATGGTAGAAGACAAGCACACTTACAAGCTGATTATTGAGAAATTACTTGTTTTACTTTGCTTGACCTGCGTTTTGGATACTATAATATCAGGATGTCTAATGCAGTGGGCGCTAGTTTCATCCTGCGTGTTTTGATTTTCTCAACTTATTTGCATCTAAGTATTACTTAAACAGATAATTAGATTACGCCACTTATGGAAAGGATAACTAGATTACGCCTTTTTTTCATCGTCAATATTTGCGGCATAAATGAGGGGCGATAAGGACACCAAGAAGGGCAATGGTTGGTAAGATACCAAAGAACACAAAACGGTACGGATTTTTCTTATCGCCCCCGAAATGAGGTCTGTAACGTAACTTTTTGTTTAAAACATAGACACCAATGGGGTAGCGTGGTGTATTCTGGGATAGTTTTGAGGGTATTTGGAGAGTTTGTCCTGGATTCGATGCGTTTTAAGACTTGCGCGCAAAATGGGCATTTAATTGTATGCTGTAAAATAATATGCATTTTTCACTTCCAAAAATAAATGCCTGTCGAAAAAAAGCACCTCCTTCTGGAGGTTAGTACTCCTTTAACATCATATAACGTAGAACTAAGGTAGAACATAATATAACTTGAGTGTGCCGTCACCATGTCTAGTCATGAAATGTTGGAATATTTCAACCAATTGTGTAGTGATGACAAGAG